TAGATCAGCCGGTTTGAGGTAATAAGCGCAACATTTTCTCTACTTTTTTTTCTAAAATGTTCTCGACCAGAGGCCAGTGAAGGTTCAAATGAATGGGAATAATTCTGTCATGTGTGATTCCTACCAGAAGAAGCTGAAACTAATCATTTTGTTGTTGCATGCTACATTGACTGTGTTTGGCTCTGTCCCTCCACAGACCTGCTCTACAGTGGAGTGCTGGCAGCTGCAGTGTAATGTTGGTCTGCTGGAGAGAGGAGCCAGTGTTATCCTGACTGTACGCTCCAGACTCTGGGCTGAAACCTTCATCGAGGTGAGACCACGGGTCACTCTGCTCTGCAGTGCTGTTCTGTGTTATTGGTTGTACATACCCTGTTAGTACAGGAAACTGTAGACTGCGTGAGACAACCAACATGAAATGATCCCTGCTCTTATACTGCCCTCTGTTGGAGGTTACCAAACAACACAGTTACAGATAATGCGTGCCAAATCCATATGACAAGCTAATCCTCTACAGAATGTAGTATAGTATATAATCATTTTAGAATTGGGGGAGCATCAGTGTTTATCTGTATCTCTAGGGGATAAACCCCCAAAAAAATATAAACCCAAAAAACGGCAGCTATCATCAGCCTTCAGATATCACCCCTCATTGACCCTGTGTTTTTCCTGTCCACAGAAGGCCTATAAGCAGTACATTCTGGAGTGCTCTATTCAGTACCAAGTGGACAGGATGCCTTATTCTATTCTTCCCAAATTCAAGCCATTGGGATCCAAAAAGGTAACTTCGTCTGATTCTTTTATTGTATTTTACAATTTCACAACCTTGTAAACTTTGTCTTATTTACACAAGAAAGTCGGTGCGAGGTGGTACAGATCTGTGGTGGCTCATCTGATTGCTGTGGTATTCCCATTGTTCAGGTGGTGACGGCTGTGGTGTGGAACAAGCCGGACAGTCTGTTCTCTGTTCCAGTGTGGATCATCATCCTGGCTGTTCTAGCTGGGCTGCTGTTACTCGCCCTGCTCATATATCTACTGTACAAGGTAATGAGCTGATGACTAACCCTCATAAAATTACAACAGAGAATCACAGTTTCTGACTGGCTGCCATATGTTAAAGTTTAATATTGGCACCCTTCAGGTATAGTTTAAATGGTGTTCACAATTAGCCAGTAGCTGTTTGCTAAGTAAGCCACATATTAGTGCTTTAGGTAGCAATCATTATGCTGATTCCAAAGCAACTCATATAACATATAAAATAAAACAAACTGTGACATGTGTGAGTGTCAATAACATAAAGTACTGTAGTTCACTGTCAACAGACAAACGATTCGTTTTTTTCTATGTGTTTGACTGTGCTACATGCTACGTCTGTGAGATGCAGATGTGAGTATGTGCATAGAATAAACAGAAATCTGAAGTAGAAGTTTCCTGAAAGCTGCACTAATGGTCTTAGTGTCTTTCAGCTGATTGTTTTACTGTCTGGTTCAGTGTCACCACTCTCATCATCAGAGGTGGACTAAGTACAGTATATGTATATATATATCCTGGTCAAATATTACTCCTATACGATAATATATAATAATATATAATAATATATATATATATATATACAATAATATATATACAATATAATAATAATAATAATAGTAATAATAAGTAATATATATAACATAAATAACATAAATAATAATGAGTGAAAGTTGTTAAGTTAAAGTACTGGAGTATTTGATTGTAAAAATACTCAAATGTACTTGTAAGCAGCAGCTTATATCAGCAAATTGAAATTCAGAGTTCAATATGAGAGCAACAAACATCTTATTATGGTATTGCAAAGGGTACTTTTTAGGTGTGAAAGTCTGACTGTACATACATGTAGCATGTAGTGCATGAACTGACAAGAATATACTAGGGCTGAACAATTAATTGAAATATCAAAATCGCAATATGGCCAAGTGAAATGTCCAACTCGCAAGAGCTGCAATTTTTTGATGAGGGAAAAATGTGTCACAACAACAAACAATAAATGAAGCATTGTGGTTTTACAGAGACGCCCCGGCCTACAAAATCAAATTCTCCAGACATAAGAAAACACATTATCATCATTTTTATATTTTTTTCTGTGAAAGTGAAATACAAAAATGACCATTTCAAATAAAATCGTGACTCGTATCACAATCTCAATATGTGTTAAAATAATTGCGACACTATTTGTAGTTTTGCGTATCTTTCAGCCCTAATATATACTGAGTCTGCACTACTGAAATTAGCTTTTTATATCAACCCAGCCATGCTCTGATCTGCCAACATCAGAAATGACTTTTTTCTCAACTCAGCTGTGAATATTAATGTCTTTAATTAATTGGTTTCCTCCCTTTAAGTCTAGACTTTGTCAGATTTGTATCTGATCTTCCTCTCTCCCTGTTTCCCTCCAGATGGGTTTCTTTAAAAGGTCAGATCCCTATGGCACAACCATGGAGAAGGCCCAGCTCAAACCACAGGCATCCTCTGAGGCTTAGATCCAGGACGGAGCCTCCGCTGCAGCTTTTCCAAGGAACTGGAATTATCGTCACATTCCCGAACACCTGACGGAAACTTGCTAATGATAGGCAGGCAACCCATTTATGAAGGGACAATTATGGGTGCTGTATCACTGGAATACAAAACCTCTGGTGCTGCACTAAAATGCCAAAGCAGGAAAGACGACTACAAGGGTCATGCAGTTGTGTATGTATATGTATATGTGCACTTCTCTTTTGGACGTCCAGTCAGAGCAAGGTTTGTGAAGCTTCTGCAGAAAAAGAAACAAGAACTTTCTCCCTGTGGAAAAATGTTTCTTTAGAAAAAACTCATCAGACAGTACGCAATACAGGAAAACAAATGCACCTCCAACAAAGGCACTAACGCTACAGTATTCCTTTATTCCTAAAAAAAAAAGTGTATTGTAAGCCACGTTTGCAATCCCAGTGTTTAATATCTTATGAAATTCCTGCTTTTTTATGATCTATACACCACTTGTTATTTATGGCACAGTGTTTTCCTGTTGATTGTTGAATGTTGTACTGTACTGTCTGCAGGACAATCCTGGTGAAACTGCGATGTTTAACTTGAATTATTCCTCTCCCATATTGGGAGGTATTTTGTGTGTGTTGTGATGTATGTAATGTATTCATTGTGTTATGACCTGTTGGTATTGTGGCCCAGAATAAAGCCTAATTTTGTATACCCATACAAAATGCTGATTGATGTGCGAGCTGTGAGATAAAGAGAACCCTTTTATATTGTGGGCAGCGGACAAGGGCATTTATGTTCTGTAAATGATGGTCACTGCCACTAGATGTCGCCCCAGTTGTCCCCACCAGCATCTCAGACCAAAACATGCTCAGTAAGCATGGTGTTACAGGCACAGTGAAAGTGGACACTAAACACACAAGAAGTACAAGTGAATAAAGTTACCCTGAGAACACAATAGCCAACAAAAAAGCTAACAAAAAGTTGAGTCAAACTGGAGCCTTTAGCCGCTTGTCAGGTTCTTCATCTTGGTAAAGTCAGACCAGTATTGGCTCCACAGTCAGACTGGGAAAGAAATTCAGCCTTGGACTTTGAGATGGAAACGTGGTGTCTTCTTCAGTAGGGGAAATTCTGGAAGGTCGCTTTTACCTGAACGCTGCATACTGCACTGTGTCATCTCACCTGTGGGCGGGGCCTGTGTGTTTATAAAAGTGGGAAGGCTTAATGTTTTAATAGGAGGGGCTCACATGCACTGATATGCACATCCTGCCAGACCGGCAAACACAAAGTGAGGGGTTGTGACTTCATTCTCTGCTCATGCTGCCATTACTCCACTACATTTTTACATAGAAAATAGTTGTTTGCTGCTGTATTATAGTTAAAAATCTTGTTTACAGAAGCTTTATGGTTAAACTAAACATACTGACTGTAGATCATAAAGATTGAGCTGTCACAAGGTTAAAATTTCAGAATCAAGGTTTGTAGTCTTTCAAACTGGGTCAGTTTTTCACTGTGTGAAAAAAACAACATTTATCAGACCCAGAGTGGAATTAGCACATTAACATTAACATTTTCTTATCTCATGTTTTGAGTCAGCAGTTAAGTTTTTCAGTGACCCATTACTTTCCTCTGCAGATGGTACATGTCAGTACACTACCACTACATAGTGCCTGTCTCCTGATGCCTTCAAGTGCCATCAGAGATATCAGAGTTTTCACATCACACTTGTATAAAGTTCATATCTGACCACAATTGTCCTCTAAACCAGTTGTGATGTCACAAATCAGATTTGAGGTGAGTGAAAAGAAACTTTGCTCCGTCAGCAGATGAATGTGAAAACAGCTTAGTGTCAAACTCTAAGCGCTAATCATTCTGCACAGTGAGTTACTTCCCATTACTGACAAATTTGCATAATGCAAAGAGAAATGCTCTTCTTCCTCTGTCTGAACTTTTTGTAACAGGACAGGTCAACAGGCTGGAGGATTATTCTGTTATATCTTATTGTCTTTAGCAATTTATGCATGAATGAATGAAGTGAAACAAAATGGCAGTTTAGTGTGATTATTATGTTGGCTGAAGTGTGTGTGTTTTCTGCGCCCAGTGGTTAGCTCTCTCTTGAGTTAGGCTTCCACAATTTTTTTTTGCAGCCGGTTAAGTTGTTGCAAAATAAACTCTGACCTTTGATGATGAGGAGTATTGAATGTTTTCTCCCACAGTTGCTATTGATGTGTTTGATTGATTTGTGCTGAGTGTGTGCATGTGTGGTTCTGCTGAGTTCCGCTGGATCGATGCTCCCTCCCAACCTGGTGTTTTTTGTCTCTCCTCCTCTCTCCCGCTCCCTCCCTCTCCCTTTTACTGTATGTATGTGTGTGTGTGTGTGTGTGTGTGTGTGTGTGTGTGTGTGTGTGTGTGTGTGTGTGTGTGTGTGTGTGTGTGTGCTTGCTCCCTGGCTATAAAAGCCTCCGTCACGAGGGTGCTATCCTGCAGAGGAGCTCAAGTGTCTCAGTTTGAGAAAGAGACAGAGAGGAAACAGAAGACTTTGCTTACTTTCCCCGGGCTGTGAGTAACAAATTCTGTCATATGTGTTTAAACTGAGCTGAGTGTATCATTTATGGTAGAGCATGAAATTAATTTGCACATACTGCATCTTTAAGAGTCTGCAGGGGCAGATGACTCAGCTGTTTGTGTTTGGAGCTTTGGTCAGCAGTAAAATGCAGAATGAATATGCAGCTAAGAGGCATTTACATGGAACATGTCTGTTCTCTGTGCCTCAGATAAAGTAGATATTGAGTCAAACTGCTATTTCTACTTCTTAAAGTAGTTATTATTGCTTGTTCTATGACTGACCTGGACACAAAACTGATGAGAAACCCATAAATTAGGGAACATTTTTAGGGTTTGTGATCAGTGTGGTTAGAAAAAGTAAAGCCAAAACAAAAAGAAAGTATAACTCATTCCTTTCTATGTCATTCATACACACTCCCTAAGTAGGATAGTGAAATGAAACTAGCCCCTTGAAACCACTGTTTCTATGGCAATGTCCTACCAATGTTGTTTTCCTGCTGGCCGATCTGATGACTGGTTGATCCTCTGTGATGCTTCCTATTCAGGATGGACAGAGGGAGGGTTTTGCCTCATCTGCACTGCTGTGAGTCAGCAGTCAGGGTATTATAGTGTTTGGGTTTGGAATCTGTGGAGGTGACCTGACACAGTTTGGGACATACGGTCGTCCTGTTTTATTTTTAACCTCTTCAACCCCGCTGGACCCAATACTGTGTCCATCATTAGACTCATTGTTCAAACCCCCCTGCAACCCTCCTGGTCTAATGCTGTGATGTGATTCGTGGATGTGAACCACACAGCCTGATAGAAACTGCAGTGGAGAGATGTATTGATTTGAGTTGCTCTGTACAGGTCCTGCCTCCTCTGCATAAGCTGTAATCATGGCCAGAAACCTGCTGTCAAATCCCAGTGGGGAAGGTAAGTCATTTTCTTTATAGCGGATCAGCAACTACGTAACTGGATGTTTTACTCATTGAAGTAGATTGGAGTGTACAGTGTTTTTATTGTCTAAAACTTTTACTTTAAATTCATTTTCTTGCTACGCTTCCTGAACACAAAGTTAAATCTGTGCTTGCTCTCAAAGGAATTGTTTAATACTTTTTTGCTGAGTGTTAGAGAACAGGGATACCACTCTCATGTCTGTATGGTAAATATGAAACTACAGCCAGCACCTGGTTAGCTTAGTTTGGCATAAAGACTGGAAATAGGGGCAAAGAACTAGCATGGCCCTGCCCAAACAAAATCCACCTAGCAGCAGCAGCAGCAGCATAAAAAGGCTCACTACGTCACCACCTCCTGGCTGTGCTGAGGTGTCACAGACAAATACCAGAGTAATATTGATCTTCTTATGTACTTCTCAGATGTTTCAGAACTGAACAACTCAATCCCCTTGAAATGTAGTTGCTGCTCTGGAAAAAGACAGTAAATAGACTTTGCAGAAAGATTATATTGAACTTTTTCAAAAGTCAAGAATGAACTTTCACATGAGAAAAATTGAACTTGACTCATACAGAGCAGAGAATACATGACATGGTAATTGGCAGCTTGAGACTGTGCATTTGCCTCCCAGAGGAGCTGGATTTCTGGGAGCTGACGGAGAACGGCGGGAACCAGTGGAAGGTGGAGGACATGCCAGGAGACTGTGGCCACGACTTCTGCAAAGACGGAGTGACCAAGTACTTCGCAACCTCGTATGAGTGAGTATTTATCACTGTGTGTGTAGTTATACCACTAAATTTAAATGATAAATAAATCAGTGTATGTCTGGTTAGGTTTGGGAACCAAAACTACTTGGTTAGATTTAGGAAAAGATCGTGCTTTGAACATTACAACTTAATTATGGTTACACTACATATCATGTCCATGCATCCACAAAAGGGACAATTCAAACAATGGAGCAAATCACATGTAAGGGAAGAAGATGGTTTCATAATAAAATCAAAAGTATGCTTGAACTTATGTTAATAGAGTTATATGTAGTTAGAGTTAATGTCTGACACAGGCAGGGACTCAGATGCAGACTCGTACGTGGGGGTAAAGCAGTAACAGTCAAGTAGTCGGTACACAGGAGGTCAGTCAAGGAAGGCAAAGGTACAAAATCTGCAGGCAAAATCTAAGACTGGATCTGGTCAAAAAACACTAAGAGCTCACTATGGGAATACAAGAAGTGTTGGAATGCTGCCAACAAACCATATACTCAACAGGGAGGGAGCTTTGTTATATTATTTTTTTATTTTTCATTTTTTCCAGTTCAGTTTATCATTTGTTTTTTCAAGATGACAAAAGTAAAAGATAACAATAAAATCCCTTATCATCCATCATTTGAATGTTACTACTACCCTGGTATGTTTTATAATTTCTCTTCTATTCATTTATATTTAATATGGATAATATATATTTATACATACATATATATATATATACAGTATATATGTTGATAAGACTGTTTTCATATCAGTCCCATGCAGTCTTCACAGTTTGTGAAAAATGTGTGTCCTAGGCTGTGTCTGAAGAGACAGGTGATCGACTTGTTGTTGGAGGGTTACAGCTCTGAACAGCTGGATGCTCAGCCTGCCGTCACAGTGGAGGACTGGTAAGCCAGCGGTGGACTGACATACATGTAGACACCCCCTTTAAAGTGTCACTGGTTAATGTGTGGCCCATCCTGCAGGTATTGTGGGAGGACAGACTGCGGCTGCACTTACCAAATGACCGTGTGTCTGCTGGATGAGAACAAGGAGGTCATACAGGAGTTCAAACCTGAGCCGGTGACTCTCAACCCCGAGTCTGATGACTGCTCGTGGAAACAGGTACACAGTGAAGAGACATGTGGGGACGCCCCACAGGGTCCACACCCGACTGTACAGATAACAGTGGTTTTCTGTCTCTGTGTGAACTCCAGGTCAGCCATACGTTTTCTGAATACGGCACCGGATTGCGTTTCATCTCCTTTGAACACGGAGGACAAGACACCAAGTACTGGGATGGCTGGTTTGGAGTGCGGGTCACCGGGAGCTCTGTCACTATTGAAGTCTGATCGAAGGGAAAACAGAGTGAGAGGAGAGCAAGAAACCCTGAAGGGTGAAGGAGGAAGATGGGGTGGGTAGAGAACTGGTGTAATATGAGGGCACCAGAGAGACTGACTGGAGGCTTCGAGGTTTCAACAGGACTAGCTTTGCCCTTGCACCGATACTGTAGCTTACACCTCTGTAGAGTGGGTTCTGACAGCATTCACACCCCTTTATTTTTTACATACTTTATTGTTGTAAATTTTAATTTTACATAAATATCCCATAATGACAAAGTGAAAAAAAATGTTTCGACATTTTTGCAAATGTCTAATCTTGTAGTCAGTATTCAGACCCTTTCCTGTGGTGCTCAAGTCGAAAACACTTAAATCTGCTTAAAGGTGCATCCTGTCTCCTTTAATTATCCTTGAGATGTGTCTAGAACTTGACCGGAGTCCATTTGAGGTAAACTGAATTGAATAGACATATGTATATAAGGTCACACACACAAAAACCAAGTCATGAAGTGCAAGGAACTCTATGTAGACCTCCATGATAAAACTGTGGCTGAGCTTTGAGTGACAGCAGGAGAACAGTGGCTTCAATAATTGCAACACGGAAGAGATGAGGGAACATGGTGGTGGAAACGCCAGGCTGTGGGGGGCTTCTCACTGGTGAGAGATTTAATTGAAGAAAACCTACTCCAAAGTGCACGTGACCAGAGACTGGGGTGACTGTTCACCTTTCAACACGACAATGACCCAAAGCATACAGCCAAGACAACACTGAGTGGTCCAGACTTAAACCCTATAGAACATCTGTGAAGATTGCAGCTCCGAGACGCCTCCCAACCAATCTGATGGAGCTTGAAAGGATCTGCTAGAAAGAATGGGATAAACTGCCCAAATCCCGGTGTTCAAAGCTTGTGAAAAAGACTCAAATAGACCCGAGAACACTCAAAGCTGTAATTGCTGCCAAAACGTCTTCTACAAAGTACTGAGTTAAGTTTCTGACAACTTTTGAATCAGAGATTTCACTTTTTTCTTTTTAGTAAATTCGGAAAAAACATGTTTTACATTGTCATTATGGGTTATTGAGTCTAGGTTGATGGGCAATTAAATCTACAACACAATAACGTGTGCAAAAAGCGAAGGGGTCCGGATACTTTCGAAGGCCGCTGCACATTGTATCACATATATATTGCTGTTCATGCTGTGGAAATAAAGGCCGCAGTTCACTAACCTGTGAAACACCACAAGACACTGTCATAGTGGCAGGCAGCTTGGCTTTACTAACTTTAAAATCACTGCTTACAACAATCATGATCTGTTAAACTACTACCTCTGCACAGTGGCTGATGGTGGGGCTCGACTACACGACTTGTTTGGTGGGTGGGGGTGTCTTAAGCAATCAAATGGTTTATCATTCAAATGTGGATTAAAACGATGAAATAAAGTGTCACCTACTTAACCGTCTGTTTTGTCAAGTTGAGCTTGAGTGTGAAGATCTGAATGTGTCCTCTCACCCCAAGACTGTTACTGTTGCTGCACAGGCCTCAGTGGTTTGTGGTTGTGGTTTGTCCTCATGTGGGTGGATGAAGATGTTAATCAGAGCATATGTCATATATGAACTAGACATGAGGTCACAGTGGCTCTCAATTACAGTACAATGGTGCTGTAACTTAGACACTCACCAAGCACCTTATTAGGAACACCTGCTTATTCATGCTATTATCCAATCAGCCGATCATGTGGCAGCAGAGTGCTCCTGCAGATCCAGGTCAGGAGCTTCAGTTAATGTTCACATCAAACATCAGAATGAGGAAAAAGCATGTGATCTCAGTGACTTTGACTGTGGTATGTGTGATTGTTGGTGTCAAATGGTTTGAGTTTTTCTGAAACAGCTGATTACAGATCGGATCACAGAAAATGATACTTTAGTTCCCTGTGCCGTCCACAGTTTTTCAGAATTTAGAAACAGCTGATTTTCATACAAAACAGACCGTACAGTTTTTACTCAGAATGCAGCCAACAACAGCCGCAGCTCTGTGGACAGAAAAGCCTTGTTGGTGAGAGAGGTCAGAGGAGAATGGGCAGACGTGGTTGGAGCTGACAGAACTAACTAACTCAGATAACCACTGTTTACAACTACGCTGAGCGGAAAAGCTTCTCAGAACGCACCACAAGTCCAACCTTGAGCTGAAGACCACGTCGGGTTCCACTCGTCAGCCAACTGCACAGCTGAAGACGGGAAAAATGTGGCTTGATCTGATGAATCTCAATAATATGAATAACAATTTAAGCCTAATAAAAGCTTTTCATCTTAATTAGTTAAACCACATTTTATGAACAGGGCTCCAAAGTTACTAAGGAGTGCATGACCTCATCAGTTTTACAGACACCATCAAACAAAAACAAACATTATTGAAAAATCACTTTTATTTTCATTAAATCAAAATTGCATAACTCAAATGAAAGTGGCTGACATATTGTGTTAAACAATATAAATATTTTGCTGGCGCCAGCCATAAATAGAAATCAGATTGCAAACTTGTGACCGTGACAATAAAATGTAATAAAAATTCATATACAGGTCAGTTGGCATCACGTCACTGACATGATAGTGTTCAAAGCGAGCACCATTAACACTGACATTTTAAGGGCACTGTTTAGATTAAAGCTACATTAGGCAATATTTATGAACCACTGAATTACCTTTTGTTCTACCACCCCTCCTTAGAATCAGTGGCTGTGTCTTTGAATTACAGTCTTTCAGCAGTAGCTGTGGTTACCAGTATTCTGGCAGTTTACTGTCATTTTTATCTTTACCATGGCCAGTGTTAGAGAGCCGACAAAGAGCCAACAAAAATGTGATTTAGCTGTAGCGCTGTTAGCATTATAATCACAAACTGAAGCTTCAGTGGCAAAGGTGACAGAATGAATCTTAAGATGTATTTCTGACATGAGACAACTACACGACAGGTAGCCTCCAGCTTTTTTGATTGAGCCTCATTGCACACTGAATGTTTACTTCATAAACAGCCCAGCTGAATGCGTCCTGCCCGGCACGAGATGACACAGTTAACACTGCTGGTGCAGAGAGTTGAGCATCTATCAAGCCAAACATGTGGGACATATTTCTCAAGCATCACAGAATCAATCATAGGAATCACACTGAAAGCGAACCTGGGATCACAAACACTCCTACCTCAGAGTAAGACTCGAGTTATCTAAGAAGCTTCCTACAACTATTCCTGGAAGAGTGTGTGTGATGTTGCTGTTTTACAACAAAGAAATTATGACATATTTTTTGTGACACTTTTAGGTTTTATGAATTGGTGAACAACTTCTACAACTACTTACTAAGCTGTTTCCACTAAAAGTGGCAAGTAATTTGTGTGGCTTAAAAATAAACGTATACGCTCCGAGTGAAATTCAATGTAAAACTATGACCACATTTAATTTGAAATGAATAAATAACATATAAACATCATACATCAGATTTGACCAGTTGTAATTAAGTGGAGACATCCTTAATAACAATAAGCAGGTGACATCCAGCCAAGGGAGCAAATGTTTTAGTCTGCTCTCACTGCAGGGCCCTGAGTTACACACAGTTTTTATGATGCGCTGGAACACTATTCAAAGTTCAGTTAATCAAAGTTCAGGCCTGAAATTGTCTGTTCTGACAGAATCATCACTGTTGGAAAGCATTGCATTTTTCCTGTTGCAAAAAAGTGTAACGCAGTGAGGACGGTGATTTCAGTTTGCGTCATAATAAGCTTATTACCAACCGTTCTCTCCTGCCACCTCGCAGCAGCTCCTAACAGGCTACGACTCCTCTGGAGCTCTCCCCCATTTAAGAGATAGGAGTGATTTCATAAGTTAAGAAAGTTGATTAAAAAAAATAGCGTCACACTGAGAATTTCAGGTTATGAATGATTTCCTACTCTGAGACGCTTGATAAATACAGACCCAGATATTTCTCTCAGGAGTTTCTGACCCAGTCCACAGCTAGAAGGGAATGAGTACTGAACCCATGCAAATGGTTAACAACAAGGATTTGAGTGTGATGCTCGTGTTGCACATGCTCGTGAGGTGTAAGTCACATTAGCCAATGTGACAAAATCCAGTTATACTGTGATGGATTGACATCACATATTGAAACTCTTTGTCTGAAGTTTTCTGTCTGCTAGCGGTCAAAAACCACTGAATACAGCTTTAATTAAATACATAGAGGGAGGCTGCCTTGCCAAAGTGTGCTTTCAAATGGCCTATTCTTCAGTTATCAACACTGTGGTGCCTTTGAGTGATTTTCATTAAGAGATAGTATGTGTATTTGATCTGGGCAACTTGAAACATGTAAATGTGAATTTGGACACTAATGAAAAAACAGGATGGAAGCTCAGTTTAACCATTACTGAAATGTTACAAAGAAGGTGATATTAAAGGAGAGAAAATATCAGTGACCTGATGTGACTGTATGAAATCTGCAATTCTGCTTCCTGTTCTCAGTGTCTGAGCCAGGAACACCAGTCAGTAAAACATCAGAGACAAAGATTGTCCAATTACTATTACTATTTTTCAAAGTCTTCTTGAGAAGTAAGACAGCACCACAACTCTACCCACATATCAGTGTAAATACAAGTGTGTCTGTAACAGTGTATGTACATGGTGTTCTTGGAGTGTGACAGGTCCTGGTCCAGATGAAAGAGGAAGGCAGAGCAGAGGTGGGACTCTTATTCTCCCTGTGACTGCATCTGTTTACAAAAGGCCTCAAACTGCTGCTGCTCCAACTCTGTCATCACCTTGTTCAGAGCATAAATCTGTGAATAAAGAAGCGGGGAAAGTAGTCACAGCTGAGTATAGAGGAGTGGGAAGCAATATGAAATATAATGCAGTTGGCACACTACTAAAAAGTTCCCCTTGGATGTGTGTGCATGTGTGTCAGGTTTATAAATAAATATGGAGTAGTGATGAACTTTGTCACCTCTGCTCTCTGTCTCTGTTTGAGCTCCTGCTGTGCAGATTTCTGCTTTGCTCTGTCTCCTCTGGTCGGGGTGGAGTTTAGCTTTGGCTTGTCTTTACGGCAGGCAGGCTCCATGGTGGCAATCAACCTGAGAGGTTTAAGAAGAGATCGTTGACATTTTTAACAGTCTCACTTACAATAAGGTAGGGCTGCATGATTTGCATAAAAAAAAATCATACTGATATTATTTTGAAAAAAACTGTGATTAGTTAGTTATGGTTTTAGTCATTTTTGCATTACATTTTCATGGGAAAAAAATTATAATAATGATGTGATTTTTCCTAAGGTCTGTTCCAAATAAGTATGTTCCCTTATGTGTGGGGAATATGATTTTTAGGTCATGGCATCTCTGTAGGACCATAATGCTTCATTTACAATGGTTTGTTGTTGTGACTCCATTTTACCTAAAACCTAAACCTGCAGCTCCTGCGATTTGGATATTGCAATTCTAATATTTCAATTAATTGTTCAACCGTACTATAAAATGAAGGGGTCTTGGTTATTTGTAAAAATACAAACTATCAAAACCAAACTGAGATTTAAAAAAAAAAAAATATATAAATCCTACATGCAAGTCATCAATCAAACACCTTGATTTGATTAACACCACTTGGCACACACAGTAATTACAGCATTTAAACAATGTCTGAACGTAGTAATAATTTATTAAAATATGTGATGGTGAGTGTAGGTTAAGTGTGTTAAAGAGGAGAGAAAGTATCGTGCAGAATCGTGACTTTTCAATCGTTTCCAAGTCTTGTTGTGACTGTGACGCTACTAACGAGTTAGCTAACTTCTCGTTCTCACTAAGTAAAGTTAGTGACACCATATGTTCAGTAGCAACAATGCTGGTAAACAGTATTTTCTGGGATAAATTATCTACGCTACCCAGCTACAAAAAGACCTATTTCTAGTCAGCCAACTGCTAAACGTCACGGATTAATCCTTGGTAGTTAAACGTTAGTCAAAAGCCTCACATATTAGCTAGCTAATGTTAGCTAGCTGCCGTTTACTTTTTATAAAACAACATTCCACCAATGGTAACATCACAGTCCAGATAATGGCAGACTTACCCGGGAAATATAAAAGAGAGTATATAATTAAGCTTAACGTTAAGTTAGCCAGGCAGTTGGCTGCAGCTAGCTACTAGCCGATTAAAACAGCTGTTACCAATGTGTCACCAGTAAACAAATCCGAGTTGAATACTGAGACGTTTGTACAAATGTTCCGGTTCCGTTTTTTCTTCTTCTGCCTCTAAAGGCAGTTAACTGACAACTTATCTGCGTATTATCGCCCCCGAGTGTTCTGAAGTGATGGAGTTTTCATTTCACCTTTTCTATTGTCATCAAAATAATAAGGGAATAGAAAAAAAAATAGGAAGTTGTACTGTATTATAAGGTCTGATTTACTCAAATAATCTTGTCTGATCATATCTCAAACTCTTTACACTTCACACAAGGCACTGACACATTCATTAAAAACATCCTTTCCTGTCCAAAATTTCCAGATAAGATGTATTATTATTTAATGCTTCATCAGACTCAATAAGAATGTTTTGTACTGCCCAAATTAACAATTTGGTTTAATTACTAACATGCTTTTTGTGCACTCATGTATTTCACATTATAAATAACCTGCATCTTTTTAATTTTGCAATGAGAGTAACAGAGGGCATTACTGGCATTCCACATAAATTGTGTATTTATAAGTTAGGGGGATGATTACCATGTTTAATTTAAATTTCAGTTCGGGTCAAAAAATACTGTTTGTCAACCAGTGTGGAGGGAGATTGAGAAGTTTCTCAAAAAAAGCAGCAAAAACGTGTAATTGCAGTCACTCAAGTGGGATTGTTTCAGTCTACAAACTAACTGTTGACACAGAGATCCAGTCAATTTCCTCAGACACAAGATACTGAAAGTAATATTTTAGTCAGTTTAGATAACAGTTTGACCAGCTTCAGGATTACCGCAGTCATCTCTTCTTGACAGTCCACCTTCAACCAGGTCTGACCACAAGATGTCGCCCTTGTATAACAGTCCAGTTATACAGTTATATATTAAAGTAAATGAGTTTAAAATTAACAAAGATATTTTAGGCATGTGACATCATTCAACATTAAAGTGATGTGTGTATCTGATAGTGAAGGTGTATTCAGGAAGGAGAGGAGTTTGACAGGTGCGACTCTGATGAACTAATCCTGTTGAAGTCTTTAGTGTCACTAAGCCTGACCCCCTGACACCTGCTTATAGGGCAAAGAGGAATTTTAAACAGTCAAACTGTTTTCTAAGTGTTTTCCCTGCATTTTCACATTTGATTTAGAGCAGAACTGATAAGTGTTACTCAGACCATATACATACACACACACACACACGCACACACACACACACACACACACACACACACACACACACACACACACACACTGCACAGACTCCCCTCAGGGCACCTCTTTAGTGCATAAATCAGCTGGGCGAGGAGTGAGCCTGACACCAGCTGAAGGGTGGTCCAGAACACATTTATCACCTCAGAAACAAAAACAGTCATTATGAAGGGACAGGATAACTAAACACTCTCACATATGAAGTGAGGAAAATCGTCCTCTCAGACCAAACTACCTGACAGCACTGGAAGTCTCCGGTGTTGTTGTGAACTTGAGCGCTGAATGTATGCATGTGTGCCCTCTGGCAGAGCTACGCCACAGAGATTTATCGTGCGGCATACCAACGGTTTACCTGGATTTATCCTCCAACTACAGGAGAGCGCTCTCCCTTGGAATAATATCCTGCCAAGAACAACTTCTGCTGAACGCTGCAGACAACAGCCAGACCTGCTGCTCCATATGCTCAGCAGCATAAAGGAAAAACACACTTACATAAAACCTGGCAATCAACAGCAGGGGTTAAATGTGGTCCCTCAACCCACATAACTTTTGGTTGAAAACGCTGTCTCTAAAAGCTGCATTTCCAGGTATTTTAATGATAATCTCAAACTTTTTTTTTTTTTTTTTTTTTTGTCTGCTTTGCTGATTTAAACAACCCACAAGTTATTTTGACTCAATATAGCTCATGACATCTTTTAAATTAGCTGCCATAATCCCCCAGAGTTGAGGAAGGTAACTGTATGCTTTAGTTTATTTGAATTAAACAGCAGACCAACTGGGGCAGTTAGCGAGTCATCAGCTGTCAGAAAAGCACGCCACCCACAGAAAAATCCAAGGTGAAAGACGTCACAGTGCTGACCACGCTTGCCTGATTGACAAGCGATTTCTGGGAAGAGAGAAAACGCAAACACCCGCAGTGATGACTGAACCAAACTTAGCAACAAATCGCAGGAAGAAGGTGGTGCAGGTGCAATGGGCGACTGCATGGCACCGTAATGAGCCAGCTGAGATGTTGTTAATACTGTGCAGGTGAGGTGAAGAGGGGGAGAGTCAACACGCTGGCTTTATATGCCGTACTTTCATGTGGTTAAGTGATATTAAACAAACAGCAGGGACAGTTAAGCTCTGGGACGTCTATCAGTGACAACCAATCAACCAAAGTGTGTGGAGGATTTAAAGATTGGCATTTTACATGAGAAATGGTAGATTTATTGTCAAATAAATCCTCTGTAAATCTGGTTTCAACTTTGTAGTAATTCTCCTTAACATGAAATATCCAAGACTATATCAACAAATGTTAAAGTTGTGAACAAAAGAGTTTAATACTCAAAAACCTGACAGTCTGGTTTGATCACATCTGATTGACAACATAAGCAAACAGCCCCACAACTGTCATTTCACTTTGATTTAAGTGTTGCTAAATCCTGATCGGCCTTTCTAAGAAGGAACTTTACATGATAAGAACTGAGACAAAGATCAGAGCCATTATTATTGATTGAATGTCTTGTTCTTGGTGCTATGCATGTCTCAGGACTCCTGTTTCCAAACGCATCATAATCCAAACCAGTGGCACTAAATTGTACTGACAGCCACTTTTGGAGCTTTGTTGACCAAAGACAGGCTGTGGCAAAGTTTTAAACGGTATCAGAAATTTAGAAGTTTTACAATGTGACTGCTGCTGCGATCCATGTCTACAAACCAACCAATCAGAATATAACATGAGCTGAGCTCATCGATGAAATGAAAATAACACTTTTGGAGACTACTCAGGTCATTTTCTTTCCTCCATTTTTCTGTATTTCAGCTCAAGCGCAATGCATGATGGTCTATATTGCTTGGTAGGTGTCTATTGGTTGTACACCACTTTTAACAATGCATTATGGGATACTAAGAGTCAACTATATTATAATGAAGCTTAGTGTAAATTCAGTCAGGAAGACTATCTCTACGTCTCATCTCCTTTACACTTCCCCTCTCTCTCTGCTCCCCATAATCAGCTGACCATGGACGTCAGCCTATCAGATTTCTCCACAATCCCAATCAAGCAGCGTCTTGGTTGAACCCATCTGAATCCATCCTCATCGCTCTCCTCATCATTTCATTTCCCCTCTCCAATATAATGATGACATCACAGCAGGGTCTAATCGCGAAAGACACTCTCACCTTTTACTTTCCTTGTTTTATACACAGCATCAAAGCTTTGCTCATTCAAAATTCAAAAGTCTTTCCTGACTGAAAAAATTCTCACTATACATTCAGACAGCAATAGAAAATGGCGAACACACTATAAGGTCAAGCTCATGGTTATGCCTCAGGTGTGCGTTGAAGTATCCAGGCTTCTTCCCTTCATCCTCTTCTGTCGACCACACATCATTTCATTCAAATGTTATTTCTGAAAATGTTTTCATCTTTGTTAAGTTTGTTACAATCTAAGATAGATAACGACAGTTAATTTAATACTAATTAACGGTTAATAGAACACCTGTGAAGCGGAGTGATACATGTAGTTAAAGTCCCAGTGCTGTTGGACTGCCTCTCGTCCAATCAAATTACTTGTTTGGAACTAACTGTTGTATAGTGGACTACATATGGAGGAGTGAGTGAATTCGGACACAGCCCAAGTTTTTATTCGACCCATCTCACTCACTGTGACACGCAAGAAACTTGATCTTTGTTGTCGCACAGTCTTAAGTTGCCTAAGGTCTGTGAGCTAAGATCATCTCAGCATTAAGATGCTTTTCACGAGGCCCGTGATTCACCAAGGACCAAACACACGCTTCATTATATTAACCAACACGGTAATAGCTAATAAAGTAGATGAGAGGTTTTGAGCGGTGAGTGGAAACCTCACTATCTGATGCTACAGTCAGACTGGAGCAGAGCAGAGGAGTGTTAGAGAGCGAGGAGGGAAAGAGATGAAAAGGCTGAGAAGCGAGGGAAGAGAAGATGGAGAGATGGTTAAAGTTTTATAGAGTGGCAGAGAGGGCTGGAGAGGGGAGGGATGAGGTGTGGAGAGACGGGCCAGGGAGACGGCAGCGGCACAAGTGTGTGTTAGGAGCCTTGTTCTTCTAAATTAAACTCTCTCTCCAGGGGGAAGCACAGCTCTGACTGCTCTTTCACACCAGCGGCCCTGAACACACAAACTCACCACAACCTCCTAATCCAGCTCGCCAGTCCACTGCCAAAAATCACACACACACACATAGACAGCACGCACGCACGCACACACACACACACACACACACACACACCCACACACAAACACGTAAGCATGGTGTGTATAAATCCCCATAGACATGTACATATTCATACACACACAAAGTCTTTCAGGACTAAAAATAAACGACCATGGTGACTGTGCCTAAAATAACTGGACACACACGCATCCACAAACATACGCTTACTGTGCACGCATACACACAAAGGCCTTCACGCATGCACACACACTCAAGACATGAACATGTGAACACACTCTGTTGCTCTCTTCACACCTGAACCCCAACAGACCTGCAGCCGCCAGAGCAAACAAGCAACCAGCAAAGATATGGACCGGATATGACCTGACAAGCAAGGGTCAGTGTGAGTGATGCAGCAACACACACACACACACACACACACACTGACATACACGCTTTGAACCCTGTCAGGACGTGTTTGAGGTTCCTGTTCCCTTAACACCACTCTGCTTCAGCTGGTAGCTGGCAGGAATAACAGAGACATGAGGGTGCTGCTCAAGGGCACCTCAACAGCATCTGCAGAGGTGTGTGGTGAAGAGATGGGAGAAACCGGGTAATGATACAATATACAAGATTTTCACT